CTGTTTGTAAACTCTAAAATACATGAAGAGTTGGTGGGTATTGCATGTCAGATCATAGGTAGCAGAGGATTCGTATTCGACTTCATTTCCCAGCAAATTCACCTTACAATTGCAAAGCAACGCGATTTTATTTATTGTCCGGCAATACGTACGTTCGCTTCTGCATCTATTCAAATCCTATCTGCTGTAAATGCCGCTTTGAAGGTTGGCCAAAAAACCAGGCCCCCTTTGAGCAAAGCGAAGCGAGTCAGTAAGAGGTCGCCAGGAATCTGACAAACATGTATCACGAGAGGGCGAGGGAAAGATCTGAACTTACACTATTGTATGACAATTTGGTTTTATCGACTGAGTTGACAACGTAAATTGGCCACCGTAAAGAGATTCTAGGTTGACTTTTCGGGGTTAGCCCTTTGTAAGAGCGAATGGTAGGAAAGCCGAGGGCAGATAGTACACTGACCTTGCACCACTACATCTGGTCTTTTGTCGGTCGAATGTCTACGATTAAGAGGGTCAATCTCCCCAACTGCGATAAAGTTCTGTTGGCAGAAACAATAAATCATATAAAATTAGGGAATCGATAAAACTATTACCAAAAGGCAACTAAATTATATGCAACTTAAACTGAGCTATAATTTTTAAATAATAACTTTATTCAAGTGCCCATGAAAGCTAACAAAGGGACAGTGCCCACATGCATGCGTACTTCCTATGCATAGCCCTGGAAAATGGATTCACTAAGAAATGATGTGCATGCTACAATGCACCAGTGTAATAGGTTCCCTCCACAAAATGAGGAACTGTAACAAAACTCAGTAATGCACTGGCATCAGGATCACAGGTAGTTTCAATCTGCATTAAGGGATTTTGTCCTGCTCTTGCCGAACAGGCTAATTGAAAAAGATCTCTTGCTGTGTAATCATGCTCTTACTTTACTGTACATGTACCTCTTTTAGCAGACAGGCCAGAACATAGAGCGAGTGAGACCACAAGTGCAACACATATTCCCCACAATTCCTTTCCACACTGTGCGGATTAGCTTTCTCAACATCAACCTTAAATGGTCACAACACGCATACACATTCAATTTCGTAAAGTTGACATGCTTTTAACAAGTTCCCAGTAGATCTATAACTTTTAGCTAAAGATACATCTACAAAAGCAATAAAGAAAAAAAATTGAAGGTCACAAATGCCATTCTGATTAAGATTGTCTTTTGAGCTCCAAGCAGTAACCGCTGTGCACTTAAAACGTCAGACATGCTGAACTCTTTGCCCCCTAAGAGTGACTAGCATCTACATCTAATTTCTCCTTACAATACCACCCCTGAAGCAAACATTACGGTCATAAGAATAAACAAAATGATCACCACCTAAAGAAGTCCTTGATTGTTAAACAAATTCTCCTTGTTAGTACCACTGGGAATGTATAGAGAAAAGTAGGGAGAATTTGCTTATTGATGTTGGGGTGTAAAGGGTTAATAAAAATGACCGAGTGAACAGTATGCAGAAAACAATTTCAACTCACAATCAAGTTGGGATTCTAGGCAGTCAAAATTTTATTCTATATACAATGTGATAAAACTGCACTTCAAAATTACAGTGTCTGTATAGTAGCAACAAGAACTTTAAGAAAAGTACTACATGAATTATCAAGAGATATTTAAAAGACATTAGATATTTGATGGACATTTCATGCATGAATTGAGTTTTAAATAACTAAAGGTAAGTTATTGATTTCCTTCCAGCTTTCCATGCTTGAAAAAATATTGAATTAGGTTCCAAAAATTTTTAAAGCAAATAAAAGGAGGAAAATACTAAAATCAGTGTACATGTAACTTAAAATAAACTCTACTTTGTTTGACTAACCTTGTCCCTGGGCACATAAAAGAATTCTGGAACTAAAGGAAGACCACCTTCATCTCTCACAAGCAGAGGTTCCAGCAGCTTTGTGTATGTTTTCACCTAAGATGCAGAAATACATGACTTAAATATCTTTTTTTGACCACTTAATTACTTGCACCAGGTTCTCCAAGTTTTTCTTTTTTATTCAAACCTCTGTAATCATTAGTTTCTCTGACCTACAATTAAAAGAGCACAGGAACATAGTTATCATGAAGATTCTCCAGGTCATCCAAAAATGACATTTAATTTTGCAGCACCCTCCATGTGCATTTAAATTATGTGCTTAAAAGACTTGACAGACCAAAAATTCAGCTGAATATATTTAGATAAGAATTCCTCAAATGCCCAAAAAAAAAAAAAAAAAATTTAACAGAACAAAACAAAAAATGGAAGCCAGTGTTAGTTAAAGTACATTCACTTCAGAATTTCCTCTCTACAGGTGTATCTTTGATAATTGTCATATTTTCAAAGCAACAAATTATCATTAAGGCAAGAGATGTAAAATCCACATTGATGTTAAAATTGTTTATTTTGAAGTATTTCACGATTGTAAATGCATGGCTTGAATTGAATGTAGCTAAGAAAAAAAAATAATTGATGGACAAATTTATGGTATTTTATATTGTTTAATACCAATGGCAGGATGACACAAAAAAATCCATTCTTATTGCTTGATTCTTTATTCAATGACCTGTTTAACAACACATATTCTGTGTTTGAAAAAAAAAATGTATCTTATCCAATGACCTGTTTAACAATACACATTCTGTGTTTGAAAAAAAAATTAATGTATTCTGTCAATTTTTTCAGCAGTTAAAATTTAATTTAACAGCATGTCATGGCTCCTTTATGATAATATTTCATAATTGAAAATTTTACAAAATATTAAACCATGGTATCCCTACATTTTTGTTCACATACTCTTCTGAGTAGAATTAAATTCATAAATTCAATATCACTGTGCTGCGTATTTCTAAATCAAATTCTTTCTTGATGTACTTTACAATTTAAAATTCTGACATATACTGTATGTACAACCTCTTTGACAAAAGGGTATTCAAGAAGATTACTGTTCCTCACCCTCTATTAAACACCCTTTTTGGTATACAAAGAAGAGATTGTTTGAGACAAAAGGCTACACAATTAGGTAGACCATAAGGATTAACAGAACCAGTGGTCAACCACAATAGCTAGAGACATAATTTGCATAAAAGACTTTAAATGATTTTAGATTAAAAACACAATGGTAAAAACATGTAGAGTAATTTCACGAGAACTGAAAAAAAAATTCAGTGATTGCTACATTGTCATTAAAAGCTCCAGAATTTAAGCCTTTCTGAATAGGAATATTTCCTTTCGGGGGGCCAGATTGTTTACAGAGATAGCAAAATGTCAGTGCACTTGTATTTGTTCAACAGAAAAGCAATATCAATGTGGTTAACGCCACGCCAATTAAATAAATATTTAATTGGATGAAGATAAATGGAAGGCACAGAACAAAGGACTGACAGAACAATTCTTAAATTTTGATGTTTACTTAGAACAGAACCAACAAAACATCTGGCATTCATGGTAATCTCTTTACCCTGTAATATGTTGTACATGCCACAAACATTTCAAGATCTCTGGTTTGAATCCTTCTTGTAATATTCATGGATGATTTTGACTCTCAAAAAACACCAGACAACAACTGAATCTTGTGTGTATTCCACCCCTGAGCAAACATCACTACCACATAGCATTGCAGCTAAGGTACAGATATTTTGATTTGATCAATGAAACCATGCCATGAGAAAACAAGAGGACAAAATGGTTCAAGTCTCTCTTCCAGCAAACAACCATTGCAAAGTTCACACCTCTAGAACTATTCCTGTGAGTCCCACAGCACCGGAACACTTTTCCATTGAACAAATCAACAAACTAGAGAGCAAGTTTTTACATCAAAAGTGGCCGGATAAAACAAGAGTTGTTGTTATAGCAATGGAAAGCAACTTGCTAACTAGAGATGTGGAGGTAAAAACAATAATTTTGCCCTAGAATCAATGTTCACCCTCTATAAAATATCTTTTAACGGAGCATGTCTTGGTGTCTGCTCTCCTGAATATAATACTGTCATTCTGATAAACAAAATGTTACAAAAGTGACAGAATGTCAATGAGTTTCACAAAGGTCTACAATATAAGAAAACCCTACATGTAAATGTACATATGTATCAACAACAATATATTATAACTATTTTTTTACCAATGAAAATTGAACACTTTTCTTTTCAGTACAAAAAAACCAGCTTTCAAGCTAGAAGAAAACCCAGTCAAATGAAAAAATCATGTTACAAGTGTTTAGAAATTTGGGGCTGTTTAGTGATGAAAAGGGTTTGACTCATACATGCATATAAACATGTACTTTGAATCATATAATGTTATATACTATCACACCAAGAACCATTTTTTGGTCATTAGAATTGTCTTACAACTGTTTGGCCTCTTGTATACTGTGATAGCAACAGATACACTATAACACTGCCCATTGTCTAAACTGTCTTTCTGATACTCTAATGCAGAAAAATTGTGTTTCTTTTTTGTTTCAATCATCAGCTCTGGTTCCAAGCAAGAAGAGAAAAGTGGATGCAAGGAGTAATTGCTGCCATTGCTTTGGCTAAAGAGTCTTTATCAGAGCATCCATGACCATTTGGATAAAAAAAATTAACTGAAACAATCTATGCACTTATTTCTGTGTAATAAAAGTTCAAGAAGACAAATTCAATGCTTGGACCAAATGACAAAGTGATCCTTGGAATACACAAAAAGAATATGAAAAGATGACATTCCAAATCAATGCATTTGGTGATGAGACGGCACTTCCTTGAGAACAGCTCAGATACAATCAAAGGCTTTTTCTGCTGAGACATGTGGTAGCATGAAGATAGTTTTGATTGAGCAAGGGGAGAATATTCTAAAATTTTCAGCAGTAGCAAGAGTATACTCAAAACATCATCATGAACATCCTCCTGATTGCCCAGAGTAACTGATACATTGTATCAACAATTTACATGTATATTGTGTCTATAAGATGACTGCCTTTTTCCAGTCTGGATTCCATTGATCAAGCTTTATGCCATGAAACATATAAATATTAAATATTTTTTTATTATTTAAATCAATATTTCCATGCACATGACAAGTGAATGCATTCTGAGCAGCAAGACATTAATCTCAATTATTAAACATTAATTTTGATCATGTAAAAAAAAAATCTTATTATAGAGCTAAATTAATAAAACAATACATGTACAAAGCAGGACTGCACAGAGAGTTTTTCAATTGAATTGGAAGCAGATTACAGACTGAACAAAAAAGGATCAATGGTTTATTTGGGTTAATGCCTCAAATGTAGTTATGTTTAAAAAAAGAAAAGAAGAAGAAGAACTAAAAACTCAAAGTGCTAACACATTTGTTGAGACTTACCTGCTCCTCATCATCATGAAACACACCATCGAGAAGGAGGTAACAGAAGAACAATGGCCATTCACATTCGATATTCTCAAAGATCTCCAGTTCAGCTGGTTCATAATGAAGTCTGAATGGGTCCTGAAGAAAAAAAATTACATTGCGTGTAAGAACAGGTTGTCTTCACCCTCTGCAAACACAGTGATTTCTAGTAATATTAATGGTATCAACCCTTCACACTCTAACATCAGTATACCAACTATCTTCTCCCTACTGTTCTCCATACATTTCCCAAAGCGCTGACAAGGAGAATTAAAGGAGAGCTTCTTTAGCTGGTGATCATTTCCTTTTCTCGTGTGACCATAATGTGTAATTAATGGCTGATACTGTTAGGCGAAATTAGATTTTAGTCACTCCTACATGTAGGGATCAAAGGGTTTAAATCACAGTGTAAGAAGTAGGACCAAGGATGCAACTGTCATAAGTCAGTAACAATCTAGACCAATCTTGTAAGAGTACACACTAACCTCAAGTGGAGTTTTATAACCATCTCGGATGAAACGAGTAAGACCATATCGACCCTATCATCAAAGATTGGAAGAAAGATTTAACATGATAGCTACAGCACAAAGTTGAAGTAATAGAATATTCTGTAATTAGATCATACTTATCAAGGCTGAGATCAAATACTGTGATATCCTTCAAGTATAGATCAACTTGTACAAAATCCCAAGATAAGAAAACTATTTACAAGGATGAAAGACATGTTGTTGATCAGCTATTTTTTTCCATTTAAATTGATTAGACCCAATTTTGATGACTTCACCATCACCATCAACTAAACCATGTCAAAATAAAAATATATTAAATCCTGTACAAGATGTAATATTGAACAAAAAATACACATATCAACAGACCTGAAGTTTTGAAATTATTTTTTCCCTAGATTCTTTGACTAGATCTGCATCTTCAACGGCAAAAGCTGGGAAACTAATTACACTCAAAACAGAAGCAGCAACTTCCTGTTAAAAATAAGCATGTTTGAAATAATCACATTATACTGATATGAAAGGTTATAAAGGGAAAACTGAGTATGCTAAATGATTGTAAAGTGAACTACACTTTACACTTAGCCCCAGAAAATCCAGTTAAAAGTGTTCTACAACTACATGTACATATGTATACATGGTGTTAATTATTATTAATATTAATTATTTTACAAATCTTTTGAAAACTTTATCAAGTAACAAGAAGATTCAACATGTAAATGTGTGTGGCAAACACCTATTTTTTTTATTGTAACTTGCTATCTTGCTTCATCACTTGGTCAGTAAGATTAAACAGTTTATTTCATATCTACACTACTGTCAAGACCCACACTCTGTTAGAAAACTTCAACAATGTATAAGTAGCATGACAACCCTTAAACTCCCTGTTCAAATTTATTGTTCTCTTTACTTTCAAACATACAATTCTTGTAATGTTAGTTAGGAGAATTTAGTATTGGATCAACTTATTATCCCCAAATTGATATTTTTTATTCTCATCACTTATCTGGTTGATATTGTAAGGAGAAATTCTGTCTTGGTCACTCATGGGAGTTAAAGGAATAATAGACTACAATACCCCAGTTCAACCATGGACACGCACAGTAAGGAACATGCAAATTCTCAAATTTATTACATTGTACGTTTTGAACTACTATCACTATTATTGATCCAAAGTTCTCAACATCAAAGTTAATAACAGTCATACTATAGATGCAATCAATAACTACAGTATTAAATAAATACCTATGAGCAATCATACTGTGCTTTACCTTGGAATTGGATTCTCTTGGTACCATTGACTGTAAAATAGCCTAGTAAGAATATAACAAACAGTATACACGTAAGAGAGAAAAACACTGTACAGCAGAGCACATTTTTTAAAAAACCTTTTCTCAATATTTTATACTCCATTCATTGTCATAATGTGCAAGGTGCTGATTGAGTTAAATCTGGGGAAATTTACTGTAACTGTTTAAAAAAGTTGAATTCGTTTAAAAATACACAAATTACTGTTGTTTATTCAGTTGTTTGTCCAAATTGCCTCAAAAAATTTCCACATTTCAATATGAACCCAGTATGTTGAGAAAATAAGTTCCACTCTAACAAAGGAATTCGCCAAATGAAAAGTGATTGATATAAAATTTTTGGCATAACCTTCAAAGTATTTTATCAAACATCTCAAATAAGCTAGTCAAGGCAGATGTTTTGGTCACTGTACTTACCTTACACTGCTGGATATCATCAGGAAGAATATGGATAACAGAGGCATGTCCTCCCTCTGGGCCAAATAAATCCAAACCATCTAATGCTTCCAGAGCAGCCTTTGGAAAGAAAAAAAGCAAACCCAATACACCATTCAAAAAGTTACACACATTTAAGCTCTCCCTTAAATGGAAGGGGTAAGTTTCTGAAGAAACTGTGGTGCTGTGATAGTGGGAGAGTATAACAGGGTAATTTGGTATTATCAACTGAGTTGATAACTTAAATTGGCCACCATAAACAGTTTAAAAGCTGATTTTTCGAGCTTTAGCCCTTGTACATGTAGTTATCTCTGAGGAGAGGATAACACTCAAAACATCAGATTTTAGACTCATTACAACTCTCCTTTAAAAAACTTTTTGGGTGAATCAGGGATGGATCTAGAGAAATTAAAGAGGGTGAACCCAATCATTTCAGTAAGAAAACAACCTTTTCCTGTAGCAGCAATGGGTTCACAATGGGTTCACAATGGGTTCACAATGGGTTCACAGTACAATGAGATCATCCAAGTGAGGGTAGTCCTTGGAAGAAATTTTAACAGTGACTGAGATTGAAATTTTTCTGACCACTTGACTGACAGCCAAATGTCCTTCATGTTCAGGTGTTCTTAGTCTTTATCATGACAACTGTTTGGTCAGTTTTTCCAAGATAACTGGCTGTAAGATGCAAGTGGTGCATACAAGTTATGATTGGTTAGTTTTTATTGCATGTTAAATATACAATAGGGTCATTCTGTTTAGTTTAATGGTTTTGAGTATGTTGTTACTGCATCTGTTTGAAATTTGCTGAGGAGCCAAATATTCTCTACATGAATTTTAAAATGCTTTAAAATGCTCAATGAGACTCTGAAAACATTTGAAACACTCTTAAATGCTCAGTGTACCCTCGGAAAGAGTTAGACCCTGCCTTAAAAATGAAAAGTGAGATTAAAAATAATGTAGATTACACAACCCAGTGTACATGACTTGGGTATATGTGTTAATTAGGCAGGTGGTATGTGTAGGCATTTATAAACGTCTTGTTGTCAAATCAAGTGCAAAATTAAGAAACCTTTGCCATTCCAATGGAACTTGTATTTAGCTCTGGCATGCCATGATTAAGTTTGTCCCCTCTTTCCCAAATACCATAGTCCTGAAAATATAGGAATGCACATCATAAGATAACATTTAATACACTGTACATACATTGTAGCACATGTTCAAAATTCAAAACTATGATAAGTATTAGTTACTTTTAATCATTAAAATAATGATAATAAAAATTATAATACATCTAATAATAATAAGTTCTTTTTCATGATCATTTAAGTTATGTACAAATTTTATATTTATTTAATATTATAAAAATTGGTGATCTTTTTTAATTCTATGGGTGCTAGGAAGGAGTAATTCTGAAAATAAACCAGACAAAAAATATCAAACAAACAAAAAACCAGAGAAACTTCTCTTAAATTTACTAACAATCATTTACTGTCCAATTGAAAGCAAATAATTGAAACATATGGCATTTTCGGGTGAACATGTGTATGATAATGAACAAAATTGCGTAATACAAGTCACTTACTGGGATGCAAAATGCTTTTTCAATGTAAAACACCAGATTTTGAATGAAGGCAACTTCATCAAGAGTGAAAATAATTTGTATTCCTATACAAATAAAGAAAAAAAAAATGAAATATATGTAACAAAGAAAGCAAATTATATGACAAAATAATCAGTGAGTATAAATATTAAGGAAAACTGAATGTAGCTTTTTGTGATGATTTTGTTATGTAATTATAAGGCAAAGGACACTTACAGTATCAAAGCTGTATCATTAAGCTGTAAAAGAAACAAACAGCTACAAACTTGTAACAAATTACACTTGACAAAGTAATGTATGTAAACTAGCTTTAAATGTACCTGAGGCAGTCATTTCAGCCAACATGAGGAGGTAGAGTGATGTGGCATCAATCTGAAGATGTCCCCAGGCATGGTCTCCAACACATGGACTACAAGTCTCTGCCACCATGATCAGATCACATTGCCATTAGCATTTAAACAAAGAATCTCACAAACAATTTCTACTTTGCCCAGGCTGTTATTACTCACTTAAATTGTATTTTGCGTGTAAGGCATCCTCCTTTGCTTGAGATTTCTTAAATTTTTCAACCTTTTCAACCTGGAAATAAATCAAGAACACTAACTATTGAACATACATTGTGAAAGATCAACCCTGCTGTGATTCTGTTTCTTACATGTATACTGTAGGAAACAGGAGGTTTACATTTGAATTATAAACTTTCTATAAAAGAAATTGATGGTACGTGTACCTGTCTCATCATACAGAGCAGCAAACCTCTCATGCACTTTACCACAGCCTAACACAAACAATGGAGAGAAATGAAAAGCATCAGAGGGAAAAAATAACAGCAGGTGTAATAATGAGAGAGGAAGGGGCCCAGTTCTATCTGAGCTCCACACTCTAAATGAAAAATAAATATATGGTGGTAAGATATTTGCTGTTATTTCAGATTATAACAATTTTCAACATGACCACAAATGTGTTTACGATAAGATTACGCAAAAAATGTGTGAACTGTTAGATACAGGGATTGAGTTCACGTACTGCACATGTTTATAGGTGTACATCTCTAGCTTCTCTATCAGCAACAATCTTGAACATGTTGAACAAAGAACTCCAATGGATACAAATGATCTACAGTTACAAAATATGAAATTTTCGCAACAAGCAGTTACTCTGACTAATGTTTCAATGAGACTTGCCTGTGTAAGTTCATGTGCCCTTGCTCTGTCCTCATCCATGTCAGCGTTCTTTCTGTAAGCAAGTGACAGACCCCACACAGCCAGGATACTGTAAACATTGTCCCGCACCCAAGCATCCTTACAGTCACAAGATCTTGATTTATAAGCATTCCAGTCGATTTTCGGTGGCAACAGACCAGTTACTGGATCCTGAGATCAAGAAAGAAGTAAAGTCACAACATCTGTTTAGCAGTCTTGCAGAATACACATAGAAATCTCTTTTCTTATCAATGAATTAGGCCTTAAAAAAATTGTATTGACAAAAACTAGCTGACAAACAACAGTAAGATTCATGCCCCAGAAACACTCGATTTATATCAACGGCCATAGCAATTTCGGATAAAGGCATACCTGAAAATCTAATATTGTCCGGTTTACGAGACGATGATACCAGTCCAGACGAACAATGGAGTTGCTTCTGGCCCTCATGACTTCTTAATCTAATGAATTGTCCATCTGCAAGGTCCTTTCTAAAATCAAAACAAACTCATCCATATTCCCATGTTTCCGCCATATTTGATTCGCTGACGTCAAATGTAACCGCAATTTGGAAAAAGGCCTGGGTCTGAATGGTGACGTCCATGCCCGCGTAATTTGACGCAACCAATCGTAACGATGGAAACTTGCAGCAGCTTGTTCATAATTTGTGGCGCCTTGGTGAACGGGGATTTTCGGTAAAGTTTAAGAAAGTTTCATATTTTTGGAATCACTGATGCACAAACAATCTTTCATTTTAGCATAACCGAGATTTGCTGAAAGAAATTGAAGGGAATCTGAATAGATATTGTCACATGACAAGTCGATCGTATGATTTTGCGAATCCTAAGATGGCGGTATATTCAAATCAGCTGAATCAAACACAGGACCTCCTTAGTCAGGTAAGCTTTCCTCAAAACTTGGACGGCAAGATTTATTTCTCTTTTTCCCAAGTACAAGGAAAATTTTAATATCCTTTAGAACTGTTAATTTGATTGCACACTAAAGGTGAGAAACTTGCGTTTCATTATATTCGATCGGTAGGAATTGTCGAAACTGGAAAACTGTGGAGAATCGACAAGGCAGGTAAGACAATTCTGATTGCTGTGCTTGAGATCGATGACTTATCCTAAGCGAGTAACGACTGAACGCATTTACAAAGCAGCAACAACGAACTGCAAAAATATTAAATGAAACACCGTTAGTTCTGATTTATTGAAAGTCACAGATGAAGGATAGGATTATTCTGATTTAACACTTTTTAACAGAATGAATTAAAGCTTGTGAACATAATTTTTTCAGCTCTTATATGACAAGTTTTTCTACGCTACAGGACCGCTACTCCCTACATAAAGTTTACTTTGAGAGTTTGATTGACCAGCACTCAACATACAGGGATCTGCTTTCCAGGATAAAGGTACAGGAAGTTATCAGCACAAATCATTGACACATTAGATGAAACACCTCAGGTACAGATCTATTGAAAATAACAGAGTGCGACGAGGGATTATGCCAATGTAATTCTTCCAGAATGATGAGTTTGTTGAATGACATTAGAACGACATGAAACAGCAGATTACGGCTGGACTGCAAACAAGGGGCGGTTATTGTGCCGAATGTACGGAGCCCAGTTAGCGTCATCTCGTATTTCTCATCAGTTCTTTTTTTTTTTTATCAACTTTTTATCAACGACTTAAACATTCCGGCACGGCTTAAACATTCTGGCACGACTTTAACTTTCCGATATGACATAAACTTTCCGGCACGACTTTAACATTCCGGCACGACTTTAATTTTCCCGCACGACTTCAATTTTTCGGCACGACTTTTTCATGGTATGACCTTTAACTTTTTCAGCCGCAAGACTTAACACAACAATCAACGCGGCAGTGGCCTGTTGTCTAGGGCATAAATTATTAAGAGCAGCGAGGCATATTAGGTTTTCAAATTGTTTTTATAAGGCTCTTGGGATCATGGTTACTACCCCATTTCCAGAGTCCCTTCTGTCATAGTCTCCCTTTTTGCTTCAAGGTGGCATTGAGAGGAGAGACCCTGGAATTGTAAGGTAACCTACATGTAGCTGGATTCTTCTTTTCCAGATGTTATATTTCACAGTTATATCATTTTGACAGTTAGAAATTATAAAAATTACCCAACGAAGATCTGAGTTTTAGTGCCAAAAGTAAAAATTATAGGATTACAAATAACAACAATTTCTAGAAGAAGACCAGGTTGCAAGATATGCTCTACCTCTTACATGACTTTCTAAGACTTCATGCCTTCATCTTTTAAGATTTTTTTATGAGATATTGTGTGGCCCCTCTCAAGTGATTGCACCTGTTGCTTGCTCCTCCATCAACAGCAATATACACAAAAAATTTATCTAAGAGAGGGAAAAAATTAGTTCATTCAAACTCCTGTTCAAAGTAACAATAAAGAGGTACTGTAGATAATCAAATAGATTATCATAACATTTTTCATAGTAAAAGAGCCTCATTTCACAACTTGAATGAAATAAATATTATGGTGACCAGCTGATAATACTTGAGTGACCAAACAATCCCTGCCGTGAGCAGCAAATTGAGCAGTTGCAGATTGAAAAGAAAAAAAAAAGAGAAAAGATAAGTTAAAAACTGATCTTGATTTATTTTTTATGGGCACCTTTCTCTCAAATTGGAGCTTACTTGAGAGTTTCTTGTGTTAATAATTACAACTTCCTTTGTTACTGCAGTAACTCCAATTGATATCCTGCTCCTGGTTTATCAAATGGAGGTCAATGTACAGTTTAATTGATAAGTTCTTTTTTAACTTGTAGGCAGAGTATGAACATTGTATAGCTGCATTAGAGAGAGGTCAGAGAGAGGCAGTGTATCTGTCAGAAAAGTTAGCGGCAACTTTAATGGAACATCAAACATTTAGGTAACGGGAAACAACATCAGTTGACAAACTGAATGTCAAGAATAGTTAAAAAAAGGATCAATTTTTAGTAAATTTCTATTTAAACAATGTTGAAAACAGTTGTGATATTTTTCCCCTTGACTCCATCGGTAAGCCATTATAAACTTAAGTTGTGTCAGTTTAGCTGAAGCGAATTATTTCTTTCCTCAGGAACATCAAGGCCCGTGCAGATGAGTTAGAATTGAAGGTTACATTGCTTAGAATTCATAATCAGAGGTTTGTGAAGCCGTGAATGTCTAATGAAACCACAGTGTAGACTGGTGAAGCACTTAGCTAATTTGATAAGGAAGTAATACCAGCTGACGCTAAAAAATTGAAGCCCACGGAAGAAGTACGGGCGAGGTCACTTTTTATTTCTGGCACTACCCTAGCGTTTACCGCCGCTCGACAGAAAAAAAAAGAAAACAAGCCAAAACGAAAACGAAACAAAAATAAAACAGCCGTAAAAACGTGGTCTGTTCTGAAGTAATACAATTGCATTAAAATAATCTCCATTTTACAAAAAATATAGGGGGCTTACAGTGTCACCACGGCGACGCATGGGAAAACATTACCTTAAAAAACAAAACAAACTATCCTGTCTGCTAAGAATCTCGCCAATGTATTTATCGTTTCTAATGGGGTGACAACTTCTCTCTGGCTGCACATGATAATGTTGAGTTGAAGTAAAATCTTAAAAATTGCCGTGGAGGTTTTCATCTTAAGAGTACACAAAAATTGAAGATTTCACGTTGCTGTTCTGCATTGGACGGCTAATAAATGTACAACGCATATGCATATTCTCCACTTCTCGTTGCTGTTGCCGTCGCGCTTTTCTTTAAGATTCAGACGATGGAATGTAGTCCTTCCCAGTTTTTACCGGTTTTTCATGTTTTATTCATTTATCAATCTATTTAATTTATTAGTTATTGTTGTTATTAGTACTATTATTACAAATACTGTCCAGATATGTTATTCACCATTGCTAAAGGTGATTTAAAGGGCTTCGAAACAAACATTAAAACATTTTTTTTATAAGTATCTGTCACAATTTGACACCTGTCAATTAGAGAGCGCGTAAGAAAAAAAAGCGCATGTGCTCTTTTGAAAAATCAACGGAACTAGTTTGGCAAGGACTGTCACTTTCTTCAAAACCAGTCAATGATCTTACGGAAAGTATTATTCATTCTCATAGACGATTAATTAATGTACGAAGAGTTACCTCTGTTCAGTAAGTAAATGGCAAGGAATGTAATTGTAAGTAAAGTCAAATTTTACATGTTGAAGTTGTGAGGGTTTACTCATTTGTTGCCGCAATGGCGTGTGTTAATTTGGTCTTTTCTCCTCAAAAACTGAATTCGAATGAAACACTTCAACTAGACACAAGGGAATTTCATGCAGCTTTTTCTCACTGAATTCCTATAGTTTCTGTTGTTCGATTTACCGTAGAAATGTCCATATTGGACGGACTTGGAAAAACTCACCGAAAGCGTATTTGTAGTAGAACTCAGTGAAAACTTCTCTCACCCTTTAAACCAGGAATAAATTGTTTGAGAGAATTCAGATACTAAATGAATGAAAGTTCCATCGATGAATTGAGTTATAACCAAATAACTCTCGTTTTAACTTTCTAAGTACTTTTTGTGAAGGATTAAAATTTATTATAGACGGTTTTTAGGCCGCTTGTCAACCAAGTTAATGACCCTTTTGCTTATACAAATTAATTTCGAAACCAATATTTTTGTGTCAACCAAAATGATTTCAGAGAGAGAGAAAAGAGAGGATTAACAAGTTATTTCTCGGCTTGAGGTAGTGACTGACGTATTTGCTTAAAAATGGTGCCCAGCAGGAAAAACAAGATAAATTTATAAAAAATGGAAGCGAAGGTAGGGATGTACTCAGCGACTCACGAAAGCGTTAGCGTGTCCGTGGGCAGAGATAGGAAAATACGGACCGCGCTAAGAACTAATTAGATTGCAGGATTCATTGCCGTGTCCTCTGAGGAAAAAAAATGTAATATTCTTGAGGTGGACATTTTACAGTGTCTTGCTAAAATGTTTCATTTCTCTTAACTCGTCAGATTGTCATCCAGACAGATCAGATCATCCGACCATCATTCATCCAGACAGAACAGATCATCCAACCAACGTTATTCATCCAGCCTTATCTCCCCAGGTAGGTCTCATGAAGCACGATTTAGAAAATACAGCGAGAAAGCATTTCAATTACAAAAAAAGGTGCAAGTGGTTAAACGGTCACAACACAACTTGACCATTGCAATGCCGTTCAAGTTTTTTTCCAATTTTTCTTTTCAAAAACAGAGATTGAATTTGAGAGAAATTTCAGTCAGGATTTTACGGAGTGACACATGAAAAACTACTGTTCCGACACTGCAATTTCTTGGTTATGCACAGGCAAGAAAGCAGTGTTCAAAGGGGAATGCAATATTAAAATATCAATGTTTTCAGTCCCACATACTGGAACAACCAGCTTCAAATTTTTGTGAGGACGGAAAACACACTTAAAACGTTGTTTTAAAATGTTTGTTGGATGTATTCAAACGTGCCCACCGGGTTAAGGACTGCCACACGGTTCCCACAGTATGATTAAGAGGACCACAAGCACGGAGGGCTTGTTTTATGCCGCTTCATGCTCGCGTCCGCCGCTAGAAAACCGCACAAACATGACTACTTCTCTTCTGGAGGCGTTTGTTACTCCGGTATTGATTAATGCATCTACAAGAACCGAGCTTGTTAGCAGGGTCTCTCCCTTTTATGGTTGTTTCCAGGTTCTCTTTCAAGTTGGGATCACTCGCACACACCACGTTCGCGCTTTTTTCCAAGTCTGACAGTGGAAAAGTTGACAGATACAGCATTTCTGACCAAAAAGGTAAATATTTTAGCTTGATTTGCTTGTACTCCCTTTTTTAACTTTGGAGGTTGTTTTTAACGCTGTTTTTATTGTTTTTTTTTCTTCTTGCTTCGTTTTCGTGTTTTTATTTTGTTTTTAGAGGGTTTTGAGTTATGTAGGTAGTATATACACGTTGTCGAACCAAAGAGGTTACGGTTCTATTTGCTCGATATTTCTTATTATTAAACGGCTAGCTCCGCGAGTGGGTCAGGTGAAGCGAACTTTGTGTGCTTATTGATAACTTAAACGATAGAAGGAGCGTGGTTGATAATGCACGTTTTTATGTATGTGATAGATCGGTTGTACTTGTTCTATGGGAAAAGAGGTAAGGGGGGCAAGTATTAACAAATATTTCAAGTAAGGCTGAATACAAGTGGTTACTCGTGTTTCCTCACTGCTGTGTTATCTATGAATTCTCATCGTTTGGTTGTGATGGTTTCCTTTGCTCTAAATGGCTGTTAAGATTATTTTGGTTTTGCTTTAAAATTTGCTTTTGTTTTTGTTTTAGTTGGCTGACTTGAAATCGCAAGTTGCGGTGGCGAAGCTCGAAAACGATACCAAGTATGTTGACCTAGTCGTAGTTAATTGATTGGGAGTGCAAGAAACCATTAAAGGATGGCAAGGGGGAAGTGAAAAAGAAAAAAAAAAAAAAAAGAAACCAGCAGGGTTCATGAGCAAACCTGCATCTCAGCACGTGCAGCACGCTTAGTGTTACACGTTTAAGTTCAGACCACGTGATCGTGTTAAGCACAACACGTTACTATATGGCTTTGTGTTATTCTTATGAACCTCCCCCCTCTCCCCTCATTGGCAGTTAATTTTCTATTGTCCCCCCTTTATATTCTGTTGGGACTAATGACTTACGATCCCCCCCCCCCCCCATTCTACCCGAAGACCATGTGATCTCCCCCAAAAAAACACCCCCTCCCCCGACCAAAAGGAGAAAAAAAGTAATGACTGGTTTCTTAAGCCCCGTTCAAACGGTCGTGATAGGTGATGATAATTTCAACTATCACGCGCGTTTGAACACGAACTGTTATTGACTATCATCGACTATCACCAACTGTCATTTAGTTTGGACATGTTCAAATTCGATATGATAGTTCCTTATAGTTTTTTTTCCGTTTGAACGATCGATGATGGTAAATAAAAGTTTTCCCGTGAGCAGTTTTGCCAAAAAACGGACTCGAACCAAAATCGTTAATGGTAATTTAGCCCTCAAATTTCGAAGAATGCTTCGCAGTTCATTCTTACTATATCTCCTGGTAGGCTTCAGTATCTTTAACTCGTAACTGCTTGACTAAAATTTCAAATGCCACCAAAAATCACTGACCTCAGCGCGCGCCATACTTGTTTACAATTACGCGATCTCATTGTGTGATTTTGTCATCTATTATCAGCTATCACGAGCCGTTTGAACGCAAACATGATAGATAATAATAGTGAATGAAAGTTGAAACCAGCAACAACTATCATCAACTATCATGAACGTTTGAACGGGGCTTTAAGAAGAGCGGTTGCTTCTACTTGTTTACACTCGTTTAGAAATAAGAACAACCTGAGTTTCCTTTTAATCAGCACAATGCAGGAAATGGTTTGAACTCGGGTGTCACATTTGATCATGTTGTCTGATCGTGCAAGTGAAGGGTAATCCTGAGAAGGGTTGGTAGTGGGGACGGACATTTCGACAGTATTCCTTCTTAGAACTATCCTCACGCGGACGATCAGACTTCATCATCTTCGGTCTGCACAAGTTTTCTTAGTTTCCAAGTCATTTTATGTACTTCCACGTACAATTCCTCCTTTCTTCCAGTTGAATATCGTTGATAAGTATATTTTAATTTCTCCTTTCAGATTTGTCCCCAAAGTGATGAAAGGTCAACTTTTCAATCGTCTCCGCGAAAAAGAGGTGATTTGACCTGCTATGTTTTTACATCTCATTTCCGTAAATCTTTAGGCGCGTCAATGCCCACAAATTCTTTTTGGCGGTGGTTTTGGATGTTTCTTCTAACCTCCAAAAGTATCTCCTTGTAACTTTCATTTATTTCATCGTGTACAGGGTTTCAGGTAATGATAATAAGACAACTATCAATCTGGGTATATTACCCTGCATTTACCAATTATTCCTTGAGCACTTGTTGGATGTGAGATGGTAAATGACCAACGAGGTGCGTAGCGCTGAGTTCGCTAGAACCAATCTCGAATCTAACAAGCGCGAATGTAATAACTTTTTTCTATAAAATTTCATTCAATCCTGAACGCTTGAATATTTGGAGCTTTATTTTAGCTCCGCCACAGTTGGTGCAATACATTTCCATGTAAGATGACTCGCAATAGGAGCTGATAACCGGAGTTAAGTGAACCAATCAGAACCTTAAAAACGCAATATTCGCAGTTGAAAATTTAGTAATACAGGATAACCGGCTTAGATTGCAAGCTGTATTGCCTTAATGATTAAAACTATGCTTTCCGAGAGAGCTTCATCTCCTCTTGTACTTTTGATGTTTTAAGCGTGCCGAACAAAGATAAAAAGCAATAAACAACAGATGTTGATTTTTTTCGGTAGGCGTTAATTTTTTTATTGTGTTGCGCGCAAACGTAAATATTTGTCCTCCTCGTAGATTTTTTAAGTCTTCTCGGAAAGGTATCGGTAGTATGGATTCATCGATAGGTTGAGATATTCGTTCTTTTTAAGAGGATATATCCTTTTTTCCGTAACCTATTCCCAAGTATTTCACGCGTTGAACCATATAGGTTTAAAGCTAGAGTCATACATTATGCACTATATAGTTCAAATAAGCTGTTATTAGTATATATTACTTCGGTTTATCAGAAACTGCGTGATTGAAGACGATAAGTTTGTCGTAGGAAATCAAAGATGCCCTTTTGGAAAGACGCGATGAGCTGAAGAAGAACATAATTTCGGTGAAATTTCGTCTCGCTGTCAGGGTAAATGGCTTTGATGACACAAACAGTTGTTCCTGTTGTTTGTTTATTATTGAGATAGCTTTCCTAAGGATGGTTGGATATTTACCACTTTAAATTATAGCATAGCTAGTAAATCAAATTCAATTGCGCGAGCGTGCTTCATATTCCTATTGCGCACGCTCATGACGTTAGCAAACAAATCCCTCGAGAAAAAAATTTTTCCGTCTGGTTGAAAATGTTATAAAACAATTGGTTCATACATCAACTGTGCATTCATCGAGATATGAAGCACTTGAGAAGTTTGGAGAGCACTCAAGAAGCTAGAGTTGCTCTCGGCTACGCCTCGAGCAACTCTTACGCATCTTTCGTGCTCTCCAAACTTCCCGCGTGCTTAATATCTCGATGAAGGCACGCTGACGTATGAACCAATTGTTAAGCTGCAGGTATATTTACTTTCCTTTTTTTATGGGTGTGTTGTTTTATTTCTTCTTTTTTCTTTTGTTTTGTTTGTTTGTGTTAGTCTGTATTTGTTTTTGTAATTGTCTTGTAAACGCTTTTTTGTAGAAATTCCTTAGTATAGAGTTGCGCATCCTTTCCGTGTAGTTTACACGTGTGAGTTATAATAGTAAATTAGTAAAACAGCGGTTTATAGTATGGCCTGAGCCTCAGTAGGCAAATCGATATTATCATATATTTTCCTGCAATTGAAACCGGTGACCTCCTCCCAAACCGCCTTGAGTTCCCAAAGTATCCGGTACATGATGGCCGGAGAGACAAATAGGGTTTCGCTTTCGATACTATTCATACCTTTCTCCGTTTTTTCAAGTCTCGCACAATTTTCATACTATTCAGTAAAGGACACTTAGAATAATGGGCATGATACAAGGAAAAATCAATGGCTTTGATGTCTTTTTTTTTAATATATCTTTCCAGTGTACCATGCGTGGCTGTCAAGTTTGCAAAGTTTGAAGCAAAAAAGAAAAAAAACCTTTAAAAAGCTAAAAATCAAAAAAAGAAAAACAGCCAAATAAAAAATCTGGATAGCATATTCATCACAAGGGAATCATCTTGAACTCAACTAACTAGCTATATCAACTAAGTCCGATTTGACGAAACCATAGCAAACCCATGGTTTATCATTCATGTAGCCGAATTAAAGTCCGCTGCAAGTCGAGAGTCAATCCGTCCGTCTGTCCGTCCATCTTTACGTACGTCTTTCTGACAACCCTTTTGTCCATCGTTTGTTTTGCTCCTTCATTCATTCCTTTTTTCTTTCCTCTCTCCTTCTCTTTACTTTACGGTTGAAGTTTTGTTCTTGTTCCAATTAGAGAAAAGGAACCAAAACCACTAAGGCAGGTAATCAAAGATCATCTTATTTTCGTCAACTTTGCTTAGCGCTGAAGGAGACCCACAGAACAATGGAGGAAGCAGGTAATTTTGTCGTCTGCTGTTACTCGCACATGAAATGTTTTCATGTTATTGGTTTGTTGACGGATAAAGTTGATGTAAAATTTTTTTTCATATGCAAGGGTATGCTTTTTCTTAAATTGTTTCCGCTAGCTTCCTGGAGAATACGAAACGAAAACAATGGGATGATTTTTTACACGTTATAATGATCTTACAAAACAAAAACAACAATAGAATCAACAGAAGTAACGGAGTTGAAACCGAAGCAAAACCATGAAACACAAAACAAACGCTGAAGAAAACAAACTATCAAACTCTAAAACAAACATATTGGCTGCAAAAATAGTTATCTAGTGGGGTGGTAGTTGAATCACCTTATCGTATTCTGTTGTTCTAGTTAAGAAGTGTGAGGAGGAGGCGAGAGAAGAAACAAATGATAAACAGCATGTTGATAATCCCTCAGAAGGAGTCAGTAGTTTATCATTGCGCGTCGAAGGAGAAGATGACGTTAGTTAAATTTTCTTGTTCTTGATTAGATATTTTGTAATGTTTTGTTCCATCGTACACGTATGGTCTCCAAATTTAGACTAATTTTTTCGTCTGAGGTACATATTCTAATCTTGGCCTTTTCCTCTCCCCTCTCTCTTTCTTCCCTTAGGACCCGACCAAGGACCAAGAAGCAGAGTTCGTACTCGAATACATTGAGAACTTTTTCGAGGTTGGTTCTAGGTTCGTAATGTGGCAAACATTGCATGTGTCAGTACGGCATTCAACGAGATACAAAGTCTGGTTAAGCGTTATGACCACTTAAGGTGCTCAAGTTTCTCTCAGCAGCTCCTGGTGAAAATGTTGGCTATATTTCGTGTCCTAAAAATCCTACAAATCTCCCGTGTGCTGAATATCTAGATGCACACGCGTTGGTGCAAAAAGCAACTGGTGATAAATATACGCAGAAAACTTACACCAGCACTCAAATAAGCATGTTGTATTTAGTAATTTACCGGCAAACTTTCATTCAGCTACCATTTTTTCTTCTGAAGAGAAGGTTGAATCCCTAATTTGTCACGTATAGCTGGAGTTATACTTCAATAATGCTACATCCCATGTTATAAAGACAGGCACCTCCATGGACACTTTCAAACCGTAATTTCCCTGAACTTTACTGTCTTGAAATTCTTATTTCTCACCGCGTGATCCAGGTAAACTTGAACCACATCCTTTTTCTTCATAAAGTTATTGGGGCACTGCTATATTTTACAGGTTTATGAGGCGGGAAAAATAGAGGATGCTGTCATGTTGGCTGCACATTCCCCCAAGGTACAAAACAACGAGATGAAGTAATATTTGTGTAACCGCCAGGCCTAGGGTAGCATACCATTCAGTCTTTTTCGTTCTTAAAACCGAAACGATAGTATTTAGTCAAAATGGAAGACGCCACACCACATCGATCACTGACGAATGTCACATAATTATGACTATTGTATACGGTAGGAATTAGTTATAAATGTCGTGTCAAAAAGTGTAAGGAGCAGTAACTATAGCGTAAGACATTTCTTTAAAATTTTGGCCCAGAGGACGCTAGTTCAAAGACACCTACATTTGTTTACTTCTAAGGGTGTTTTAAGGTCGATGGAGACTCTTGCAAAGTTTGAAGAATACGATGCAACTCATACAGGCAGGTAAAAGTTACATTTGATGGCGTGTACTTGAAGCTATAGATGAAATCCACATTGTGCTGGCAAGTCCAAATAATCAATTCTTTTAAAGAAAGAATCGAAAAAATTGTTGTTTTCTGGAATTTTGTGAAATGTATGATAATTTGGGATATATTCTCTAACCCCGGCCGTACTAATGTCTCCAAGTAAGTAAATGATTAAAATACATTTAGAGTTACGATTTACAGCTCTTTTTGACGGAACAATGTTAAACCGAAACTATATTTTTCAAAACCCAACCTTTATACAGCTAATAAAAACGACGATGAGAACCAAGCGCGGGAAATTAAAAAAAAAAAAAAACAAAAACAAAAAAAGCACGTCTTCGTTGAAGTTAACATCTGTTTGGTTAAGTTTTTAAAGCTAGTTTTAAAGCGTAATTAAGCAAAGCCAACGTAGCCCTTGATCACAAATTGAGCACTCAGTCATAACTCAATCAAGACACGCTGTAATGGGAAATGGTGCAGTAATTTTTATTATATATAACAATAATTAATCATGCTCTTGCCTATTTTCATCGGTCGTAAATGGCCCATTTCCGAATTACCTTTGGCCTCTTTTTCACGTGCAAATGAATTTCATTTTCACGCTAATGGTTGAAGGCCAGGCCTCGTTTTGAAAGAGGTCAAAGGTAATTTGGACATGGCCTGTTCATTGCATTTTTTTTAACCTTCTTTATCATTCAGTTCAGTTTTGATGTCCTACTGGGAAGCTCTTCTTCCAACAGTTAGCACTGGCTGTAAAAAACCATCTCAGTGGGAAACTTTGGAGTGTGTCAGATGTGTCTTAGCGAGAGGTACGTTAAAGGGCAACCTTGTTGACACTAGCGTCCCTCAATCGGCACGTTTTCGTGCGTCATCGATCTTTGTTGCAGGGCAATGTAAATATCTCTTTGGAAATCGCATTGGTGTGTTATCCTTTGTTAGGAAACTGAAGCGTTATACATTGACCTGAAAGGACTTGCATGTTCGTTACTCGCTGATTATTTGGTTCTAAACGAAAAAGGAGAAACGAGACAGCAACCCCTTTGGATGCAGAACGCTCAGCTCTCTTAACTCAGGAAGTTGGCCCTAGTTTCTTCTTCTTCATGCCCCCCCCCCTAGTTTTTTAATTCAAGCTTCAGATGGCATGTTGATTAGTAATGGTAATAGGAACGAGTGGAGTCCAATTCGCTGTAATAATTCGCGGTCGTCCGATTTTGTTAATCACGTGTATGATTACAGACAGAATTGAACGATACGAAGTCCTGTCATCAATTAATCATAATCGTTACAATTTCCGAAAAAAAAAACAAATACATTTCGGAGAGACAATGCCTAGAGTAAAAAATACTTATATTTTGGAAATTCCCCCTTTTTTTCAGGATAAGTACTTGTTGCTATGGTTATTGTGATCAAATCTGTGCTTTGTGAATTTAGCAGAGTGGACTTAGTTTGATTGGCTGCTTCAACTGTCCGATTACAGGTGTCCAATTACAGCCAACTGTCCTATTACACTGATCGATTATAACTGTACAGAATGGTTAGAGAAAAATTAGGCATCAAATGCACCAATCACATTTGAGGAAATTGTGATGGTCACAGTGGTTCTCATAAATCTCGTAACAATACCTGTTCCGTCTCCTTATTGTCTCCTTAATACTTGTGTTGTCACTTATTATTTTTTTTTCTCATTTGCTATACTAGGGAGAACTGATCTCCTTACTCACTGGATTGCACAGAATCAGGTAAACCAAGAAAACCGAACTTTTTTTTTTAAATAATTTGGTGATGAGGTCGAAACTCTCTCGCATGGTACTTGATGAGGGTGAAGCCCTAGTCAACTATCCACATAGAATTAACGATTAATGCTGTTTAAGTTTAAATCCACCAGCTGTTTAAAACTGAGACTTAACAGCAAGACAAGCTCTTTTTTATGTACTTTTTTATTATTAGTTTTTTCTATTACAACCTGCAGTGTAAGGCTGCTCAATATCACGGAATCGATAAGAGAACAAATGGACCCTTATTCTCTCCTGATAGCAAGTAGCGTTGCTTATCAAATTGCAGCTTTTGTAACGGAGTGATAGCACAGTTTTACTGGGCACACTTGTTTGTAGGCCGATTAACGCTAACCCAGGGTTAAGTTTTAATCTGGGTTTCTTTATTTCTTTCTTTCCAAACTAAAGCAGCCACACCCATAATAATGTCCTTAATAAGATAGTTTCAACGCTGTTTTGATTGGTTAATTGCTCTGTAATTTCTGCTGTGCCTTTCCTTTTGACAGTTAACTCTCTCTGAAGAGACTGGAAGACTGATATCTGAAGCTTGCAGATGCCCGAACAGGTACAAGCAACGCCTTAATATAATTTTCTGCCAAAGAAAACTTTCACTAAGAGATGATATTAAACGTTAATAGATGGGAGTTTACGAATGCCCTTTTTGGTAACGAGAGAAAACAAGAATTCAACAACCGCCTTCTGTATACGAATATATACTTGTTTTACTTTCAGTTAGATTGTAAATGCAAAAACAAGAAGCCATTTTAATTTTTCCCTCTACAACGAACAACAGAAAATTTGAATTTTATTTTTCCTGGTGTACTTAATCAATTTCATGATTAGAAACAAGAGTTGTTGCCTGAGAATTGTCATCCAAATGACCAATTAATTGAAATAATAGACAGGAAACTTGATATTGTGTCATTTTGCATATTGATATTGAATTACTTCCTAAGTTCGTTTTGTGATGTGGTGCCATATCTAAAAAGGCACACATGGGATGAAAAAAAGTCAAGGACTTTCTTTATAAGTTTAATACCTCATTAAATCAAGAAATAATTTTTGTATAGAAAGTTATGTTGTGTCTACTGTTTCGGAACCTGAGATTGTTGTAGGTTTTTTGGCTTTTTTGCAATAATTTGTTATGCACTGTTTTAATAGATTTACATGTTCGACTGTGTGAGCCACGTGGTTCGAAAATAGAAAAGTGGACAGGATGTCCCACAGACTTGCGTGTCGCAATTACTAATGAACTGTTCGTTTACTAATTTGCTTTCGTTGTTCAATATTGTAAGGAAAGAGCTAAAATTCTGACTTCGCATCTGGTTTTTTCACCACATGCATCTTTAGGCTAACTGGGCTTATTAGCTTAGGGGAAAGGGAAAAATGAGGGTTTGAGTTCATGAAATTGTTAATTTATATCTCATTAAAAAACCATGATTATGGTATTTTTTTATTTGACGAAAGAAAGCAAACTTCATGAATTGTAAGCATAGTTTTCTTTTTGGAGGCCTAGTTTTCAATTCAGTGAAACAATTTTGAAGGATCCAATTAACAAGCATTACCTTTTGAAGTTTAGCCAGCATAGTGTCACATACTTAAATTTCCTATGTTTATTTTCCATCTGCTGGGAATGAAACTGACATTTTAATAAATGTTATAGTACTCAGATATTTTGGTAACCTGGTTTTTAATTTGAATCTGATGGTTAGGTTTTGATGAATTTACCACTACAAGATTGTGTTGATTATGAGAAGTGAATGAGAAATGCAAGTACGAGTTTATTCTATCACGAATTTTATTCTCAAGCGTTTAAAGCTTTTGAATAGCGACAATGTTTTGAAAGGGAGAACACGCCAGCGGTTAGGCAAATAATTTGAATAAACTTAAGAAAACGAATTTTAGATGAACGAGTTAATGTTAAACTAAAGTGCCTTTATAAAGTTCACTGCATGTCAAGAAAGTGGGTATCAGCCATGCCCATGCCGTTATTTGTGGCAAACTTGTAACTATCCATATTTAAACATAAAAATGCCATAAAATATGTAAGGTCACGTTTAACTCCCTCCACGTCATTTTTTAAACATATAATTCAAGGGAGCACGTACCTTGCAATGAAACGGAATTAAAAACCCTACTCGTTGACGCCCAAGATCACGTACCGGGGTAGATATAGCTTTAAAGATTTAAACTTTGTGAATTACTAATGAAAAATATTTTTCTTCCTTAACAACTGGACTAAGTCCAAAACTCATAACTTCTCACTAGCTAATTACAGCTACATAACTCTCTAAGGTTGTTGTAAATTGTATGTCACTCTCCTGTCAAGTGGGTGGCAGATAGTTGATTCACTAGTTCATAATTCTACATATGATTGCATGTGCCCTAATTATCATTGTATTCTAACAGGGTTAGAAAGCTTTTAATAAAAGATAGACAGATCTAGAGTAGTTTCCTCGTAACAGTATTTTCCTTCCAAAAAGTCACACCAAAACAGAAATATATTATTATATGCTTTTCCTCAAACAAAAAAGATTTCGTCAAAACAATGTTAGTTCTAAGGGTTTCTGTACTTAAAATGTGGTGAAATTTCCTTTCATCAGAACTAGCAAATATTCATAGCGCTTCCGAGTTCTTTTTTTGTGTGTAACACTAACGTTTTAGCGCTTTGACCACGGTCAAGAATAAAATTTAAAACATCCGCTTTTCATATTTTCAATTTACATCGCGGTTCTGGTTCTATATATGTATATATGTATATATATATATATATTTTTTTTTTTTTTTAGCAGGGTGGCCATATTTAAGCAAAGGATGATTAAAATTTAAAACATCCGTTTTCCATGTTTTCAATTTACATCGCGGTTCTGGTTCTATATATGTATATATATGTATATATTTTTTTTTAGCAGGGTAGCCATATTTAAGCAAAGAATGATTATTTTTCTCTACTATATTGAAACAGTTGCTCTGTCAAAAGGAAACTTTCGATAAGAAATACAGGTCTGTTGGTTCCGCATGGTGTGTTTAACTAAGAGCATAACGTGAACATTAATTATCAGAATTTTCTTGTTTCAAGTTTTAAGCCACGAGAGCAAACAAGGAAATAGAACAGACCTCACAAGTGGCAAATTTAGACAACTTGATCGAGCGGCCTTTTGACATATTTGCTTTTTACTTATTTAGCCTGCATATTCAATTTCCTTGAGTAGTTTGGGTTGGTTTCCAAAGTGAATAAGAAAAGAAAATCTCATAGGAAATGCACGCGTTTGAAGAAAAGTTTTATATAAGTTCGCTTTAATTTTTAATATAATTTTTAAGAGGAAAAATACCAGTTTCTTCTAATTACATACGTAAAAGGTTAGCAGAACATCACCTTCTGTTCATATGTTCGTTGTCTTCTCTCGTTTTTGTTTGAATTGAATAATTTATCAAGTTGTCTCGTATCCAATAGTTAAGTATTAGCATAATGGAAGATCTGCACTTCAGTTAACAATTATTCGGTCGCATTTCGTGGCCCGTAGCCCACGTTGAGTTTCCTACAGCAAGTCGAAATTTAAAATTTGTTTCCTCTTCAACGTTGTTGTTAAAAAAGAACTTAGTGGGAGGTCAATGCATCTCCTCTCGAGACTCAAATATTTCCAGTGTCAATAGCGAAGTGTGAGGAAATAAGGCGTTTTGCCATGAGTTCTACATTACCGCAGCGGAATTTTCCTATAAATGGAAGCACTGCCGAGGTTTCCTTGACCCGTTTTTAGTATCAGAGACGTTCTCACATTCTGATGAGTCTGATGAAGCGATGACGTGCTTCATGTTCCAATTATTTATTATACACCATTTCAAACTGCGTCACGACTAATATAATCGGAGGACAAACCGAATTTTCTGTTGAAAAAGAAACTTATCCTGATTATCGATAACTTTGGCCCATTTATCTCGGCGTAGTTAGAAACTGAAAAACATACAAATTGGACCTAGCTTGGCACTTTGCCTCGCAAATAAATTAGCGACTTGTTATTTGTTATGTTTAATCCCGCATGCAAAGACTGAAAGGCGTCTGAAAAGTCCATAGACATATTTTTGAGGATTTTCAACATAATCCCCTAAGAAATCTGCTTAGCCCTCTGCAAGCAGAAATTTCGTTGTCTAAAAGAAAAGATGTTTTCTATCCTCGATGTAACATATTTTAATCGGTTTCGAAACTGAGAAATAAACGCTCAATTACCTCAAGCTCAATGGCAGATGTAAATGCCGCCTTATGTAAAATTAACGAAGTAACCCAAATCCCCTACGTATCGTAGGCTGACAGATGATTGGTTTTACGTCACACATTTTAGTAAACGGCTTTGTAAGTTCAAGAGGAGCCGAAAGGAAAGCTCGAATCCGTTCAGATGCACAGCAATCGTGAGTATCCGTAGGATGTGGTGTGGGACTATTTTCGATCCAGTTGACGAACATGATGTTTCCTTTCTTTTCACACCTACAAAAGTCATATAACTGTCAGGACAAAAAATTCAACGCGGAAGCTCACGAGAATAAATACAGGTGTTCTCTAATCATGTAATACTAGTCAGCTTTGGTTCAGCCGCTCTCTGTAACCAAACGGTGTTCTCCAAGAAAAATAGGCTCTCGTTTAGAAAAGAAACATGACAGGGAATGGGTCTTACACA